GGTCGGGGCCGGGTGGTGCGGGCGCGATGTCAGCGGATGCAGCGCGCCTGGTTGGGCAGTCGTTCGGGAGGTGCGTCGATATCGGGTAAGGGGGCGTCGCCGGTGACGTCACAGTGACGTCACAATGACTTCACAATGACGTCACCATCGACGACGCACGGCAGGCGGCGACGGTGCAGTCGAGCGGGGCGGGGGGAACGCGGCTGCTGCACAGCAGTGGCAGGAAAACTGGGCAGTGAACAAGCGGAGGGCGAAGCTGACGACTGGCGCCGAGGGGGGACCGGCAGCGCGCTGGCCGGCAGGGGGCCAAGGACGCGGCCCCGTGCCCCGTGCAGGAAGAGGCGAGCCCCGAAGCCTCACTTGATGAGAGGGCCGACAGGCCCATGCCGAGGGTGATGAAGCCCAGGGCCGCGCCCGCCGAGCCCGCCCCCAGCGGCGACGTGGCGAGCGTCAGCGCGGCGGCGGGGCCGAGCTGCGCGGCGCACTGCATCAGGATTCGCACGTCCCGCACGCGCCTGCGGCAGGGGCGGGACGGGCAAACAGGACGGGTAGGAGGTCGGGTGAGGAGGGAGTTTGCACGGTTTCGCGCGACAATGCTTGAGTTGTGACAGTTTGCAAAGCAGCTGCGTCATGAAAGCGATGAAAGCAGCCGCGGGGTGCAGAGTCAGAGTGTCGCGTCCGACAAGGGCAAAAGAAAGCACAGCGTCCCGGGCGCCGCGGCGCCGCGCGCTGCCGCGTCGCACCAGTGGCGCTGTGTGATGAGGTGGTCTGCGGCCAGGCCTGCAAAGCCGCCGACCAGGGCCTGCAGCAGGTAGGGCGCCAAGGTGAAGGCGCCCAGCTGCGGGTGACATTTAGAGGGGGGTGTGAGGGGTGAGGGGCGTTGTTCTTCAGCGAGTGCGGGGCCGGGGGTAAGGTCGGGCTGGCATGGTGACTGTTGATCAGAGAACACGGTGGGAGTGGGCCGCCTTGTAGAGGGATCACGCCCCCTTCCCGGCAAGGGGGTTGTCCGGTCCCACCGAGTGCGGTGCACAGCGCGCGCGTGCACTCCAGACCCCCCTCAAAAAAAACACCCATGCACATCCACACACACGTGCATGCACGGACACACATATGCATGACGCACGCCCACTGCACCCCAGCCGCCCCCACCTGCTTGAGCTGCAGGCCGCAGTGCTCCATGAAGAAGCTGGGCAGCCACGCCAGCAGCCCATACAGCCCGAAAGAGCTCGAGTACTGCGCCACCGCGATCGCCCACACCTCCTTGCGCCGCATCAGCGGCCAGAAGCCCACGCCTGCGCCCGCGCCGGCCCGCGCCGCCGCAGCCGGCCGCTTCTCCTGCTGCTGCTGTTGCTGCTGCTGCTGCTGCTGCTGCTGCTGCTGCTGCTCCTTGCCTGCGGGGGCCTGGGCCAGGCCACGGTGCACCGCCAGCCAAGGGATCGCCCACAGGGCGGCGAGCCCAGCGAACGCGTGGAAGGCGAGCGGCCAGCCCCCAAACTGGATGAGTGCCGGGCTGAGCCCAAACGCGAGCGCCGTCCCGCAGTGCGCGAGCGCCATGATCGCGCCGATCGCGGCCGAGCGCCGCGCGGGCGGGACGGCGCGCGCCAGCAGCGCGTGGATGGCCGGGAACGCGACGCCCTGAGCCATGCCAACGCCGGCGCGCGCGGCGAGCAGGGCCGGGGCGCCGTAGGCGGCGGCGGCGGGCGTGAGCAGCGCGCAGATCGACCACGCGGCGAGGCCGGCGGCGAGGACGGCGGAGCCGCCATACTTGTCGCTGAGCTGGCCGCCCAAGACTTGGCTGTTGGTTGGGGTTTAGGGTTGAAAAGGGCGTCGTCAGGGGGTGGCCCTCTCCGGGCAGGGCTCAGGGTGTCCGCGCTGGGAATGGGGCTGGCCAAAATCAGCGCCGCAGCGTGGCGCCGGGGGTGTGTCCCTAAAAGGGCGACCCTGCACAGCCCACGCGTGCCCCCTGCAGGGTCCCCAGCCCCGCGCGCGCACGGCACGCGCGGCCCGTCCCGGTCGGCACCCCGGCCCCCGCCGCCAGCCAGGCTCTCACGTTATGCTGTAGCCCGCAAAGAAGGCCGAGAGCACTGTACCGCAGAACCGCTTGTCCCATCCGTACTGCTCCGCCATGGGCACGATCGCCGTGCTGATGCTGGTGCGCGTCGCATACATCAGCAGCGCCGCCGCCGCGCACACGCCAACGACGCGCGCGGCCGCCCGCTGCGCGTCGAGCGCCCGCCGCGCGCGGCGCTCGGCCTCCGCCGCCTCTCGCGCGAGCTCGGCGCGCCGGGCCTCAGCCGCGGCCGCGGCGGCGGCGGAGGCGGCGGCGACGTCGGCTTGCACCTGTTCGACTGCACGGCGCTCCGCGATCTGATCTAGAAGATCAGAGATCAGCTCTGGCGGCGCCTCGGAGGCCGCAGCATCGAGCGGCAAGAGCCGCGGCTGCGATGGCGGCGGCGCCGGCAGCAAAGATGGGACGAGGTCGGCGCCGCCGGGGCCCGGCGGCAGCGGCGCGAGGGCTGGGGCCGGGAGCGCGCCGTTCGGGCCTGGCAGCAGCACCGGCGGCGCCAGCGGCGGCGCGGCGGGGCCGGCCGACGCGTATGCTATAAATGGCGAGGGCGCCGGCGCTGCCGAGGTCGGGGCCATGGGCGGCGCCGATGCGGGCGACGCTGGCGGCATCCCCGTTCCGCCGCCACCCGGGCCAAATGCATCTGGGAGTGCAGCTGGACGAACTGCGCCTCGCCTGCGGCCGCTCAGCGCTGCGCTCCGCCGCCAGGTCGGTGTGGTCGCCACAGCTGTGGGGCGCCTCATTGCTGCGCCAGACACTCCAGAGGGCTGCATCGGACGGTCTGGAGTGGCGCATGCGGTCGTATTGCGAGGCATATTCATTATTAACCTCACAACAGGGTACATCGTGCGGGAGGACGCTCGTCTGACTTTTCGAGAAGCCGTCTGGCGGAGCCCACGAGGATGGTGACCGGCTCAAATACTCTCAATAACCACCTACGGTTCAGTTACGCGCCCGGAGAGCTGCCGAGTGCCTGCACACCGTGGCAGCTGTTTTCGCGCGAGCGCGATTCTCCGTTGTAAGGCTTGCGCTGTTCGTCAAGATATAAGCCTCTTCTGTGTCGGTGAGCAGGACACTCTGTGGCATGAGGTGAACTTGCGTTTCGTTGCTTTGGAAGCTTGGCGCCCGTTTGGTAGGTGCGCCAGCAGGGCGTCGGAGGCGGGTGGGTCGAGGCGGCATGGTGCCCACCCCCCCCCCGAAGTCCCCAAGGCTGTTGTATACATCAACGTAGCTGATCGCACTTGGCACTACCCTGCCATCCCTGGATCCCGGGAGGCAGGTGCACCTGTGTCGCAGCTCGAGCTGGCTTTGAACCTCGTTGGTGTTGATTCTGCCTCAGGGTCACTGGCCATGGAAACGAAGGAGATGCTTTGGAAACCGCACAGCTGCTGCTGAAAGAGCCTGTTAGCATCGATCCAAACCAATGCAGCAACAGCTTCGCATTGTTGGGATTTGCAGACACGACGGCCAGTGCTCTCGGCACGGCTGCGCGAAGCACCAGAGCTTGCAGCACAGGGAGACTGCCCCGAATCGGGGGCCATCGCTGCTACGTGGAGAAATGCTATCACATGCGTGTGCACAGGTGTCGGTACACAGCGCCCATCTGCTTCCTAACACTGCAGGGCTCCTAATCGAGAGTCGCTTCCTGTTGGTGTGTTGGTCGACCCAGCCGCCAAGCTACGCATCGTGCCGCAGCAAACCATTTCATGGCCACACGTGATCAGCCAAGCGTGAGACGAGCCATCTTCTGTGGATGGCCAACAGCAACCACCTGCGTTGCTGCGTTGCCAAGTCAGGACTTCACCTCTTTGGAGGCCCCCGCCTCAGGGCCGGTGCGTGCGTCTGGGGCTTGAGGCAGCGAGTGGATGGAGGGGACGTGTTCCGACGGGTCCTTGCATCATGAATTGCACCTGGCGCCCCAGGACTCTTGTAGCAGGCTTGGCACGACACCGCTTGGAGGTTGGGCGCAATGCCACCAGGTCGGAGCAGCCCTCTCCTGCCCTGTTGCGGGGGACGCGGATGGGATGCACTTCTCGAAGGCAGCCGGAACTACGGTGTGCGCAGTGAGGGCTGGTGTTGGTTTTGCGTGTTTGTAGTCTGGGCTGCTCCACCGTTGACAGTTGGCAGTCCGTTGCTCGAGGCGCTCCGCTGAATTGGGTGTTGGGGCGCAGGTTGGCGGTTGCATCCGCCAGGACTCCTGGATGTCCTTCAAATTTCTTCGGCAAAACCTTTGACAATGCGCAGAGTGCAGGCCTCCACATGCCGCTGCCTGCCCAGGCTGTTGGAACCATTCGTCCCGGTCGCGCCGGCGTGTTGGTAGATGATCATCACCAGTGCGGTGGCCCGTGCAAAGCACAGGGCGCGCTGATTGTATCGATCTTCGGCACAATTACATACTTAAAGCATGTCTTTTGAAACACGACACTCGCAGTGGTGCACAAGTCTTTCCTCACCGCACCTCGCCCATGCCTCGCGCGACCAAGCCGGCGAGCGAGCAGCCTCTCCCACTAGTTATAGTTGAACAACCTGCTGGAGAGCTATGCGTCGGCGCGGATCCCGCGACGCTGGCAGCGGACTCACGGGTGTCAGAAAGTGACAGCCAACCTGCACCCAGCGTCGACCAAACAGCAGGTTCGTCGTGTGCATATCGTCCTTGTCGATGACGGGCTGCTGGCGCCTGCCCGCACAGGACACACGTGCGTGGCGTGCTGTGCATCGCGCTGCATGCGTGTGTGCGTGCAACCCTCGTGCGGCTCAGTTGACGCCGCCGCATGCACGAAGGCGTGCAGCTTGCAAGCTCCACCCCGCACGCCCTCGCAGCGCGCCGGGCCCTGGCGGAGCAGTATCGGAATACCGTCCTTCGGCAGAGGCGCATCGTCTTCCTCTGCCTGCTGTGTGAGCGGCGCGGTCACCGCAGCGCACGGCGCTGCATTCCGCCTGATTCGCTCACGCTCGGCCGCAGCCGCACCGCTCGCTCACCTCTCGGTGCCACGGGAGGCAGGGTCAGCTCCCAGCACTACCCACCTCACACGCCGCTACCCTCATCGCGCGCCTGCTTCACTCATCAGTCGGCGACTTCATCATCTTCGCCTCTGTCCTCGTCAGCAAGCTCGCAAACAGCAAGTTCGCAAATCGCTGGGACGACAGCGGCGGCGGCGGCGCAAACAGCAGCACTAGCGCAGACCCCGCGGCGGGTCCCTCCGCGGCGACCGTCGGGGCGCTCGCGTCGCCCTCGCCGGCGGTCTCGGCGGCGGCGCTCAAGGGCCCTGGGGCGAGCAGCGTCACCGTCACCTGGTGGCTAGTGCCCTCAGAGCTGAAGCTGGAGGATGTGATCTTCTCATTGGTGCTCGATCTGCTGGGCGCCCTGGGTGAGTGGTCGCCAGCCCTGGCCCTGGCTGCGCCCCGGCCCACGCGGCGCCGGCGCGTGCACGCGCCGTGCAGGGACGCAGCGGCACGCAGGGGGCGGTGCCGCTGGGCCAAGCTGGCCCGCACCATTGACGCCTGGACACGACCGGTGCCGGCACGTTGTGTTTCCGCCGCGTGCACCTGCCGGCCTGAGCGTATGCTGCCTCTTGCCCCGGCTGGGCGCTGGCATGCCAGGTCAGCAGCAGCAACAGTAGGCGCGCCGCCGCTCTTGCCGCCTCCACGCAAGCATTTCCGTCATCCTTACCACCGCGCCCGCTGCCCTTCTCCCTGCAGGCGCCCTCAACAACCGCACCTCGATTATCAGCCTGTTCATCCTCCTTGAGGCCCTCTGCACGGCGCTCATCACGCTGTCAGGTGTGGGGCGCGCGGTGCGCTCATCACGCACACCACGCGCAAGCGCGTGCCCAACGGCCGCCCCGCTGATCCTCCTGGCCTGGCCGGCCGCACGCACCTTCTTGCGCAAGAACCGTCCTGCCTTCGAGCGCGACTGTTGGTGGCTCCACGCTGTATCAGCGGCGAAACGCACAACGCTGTCTCCACCCGGCACCCTCTCCGCCGTCCCACGCTATCCGCGTTGCGCATCCTCCCCCAAACCCCCCGCCCACCGCCTCGCTGCCCCGACCCACCCTTGGCCCCCAGGCGTCTCCCTCTTCCATTTGTTCCGAATCTCCCTCCTGGTGGGCGCCTTCTACATGCGCGCCTCCATCCTCATGGCCGCCGCGATGGACGACGCGGTTCTGATGCTGCGCCCCCCGCGCCGCGGCGGCGGCTGGACGAGCGGCCCGTACTCGGGCTGGCGCGCCGTGGGTTGGACCACGCGGCAGCCGCCGCCGCAGACAACAGCAGTGGTTGATGTCGAGGTTCCTGCGGACAATGTTGCGGATGGCGGCGGCGGCGCGGCGGGGGCGGCGACGGGCCACGGGCGGGCGGGGGCGGCAGCGGCAGCGGCGGGCGAGGGGACCGCGTCGTCTGAGCGGCAGCAGCGCCGGCAAGACGCGCAGCAGCCGGCGTCGCCGGGGCGCGCGCCGCAGCAGGCGCAGCAGCAGGAGGAAGAGCGGCGTGTGGCGGACGGGTGGCGGCAGTGGTGGCACCAGGGCTGGGGCCCCTACACGCGCCAGCAGCTGCAGCGGCCGGCAGCCGCGAACGGCGACGTGCGTGCAGGCGCCACGAGGGCGGCGGACACAACTTCGCCCTGGCAGGAGCTGGCTCAGCAGCAGGGGCGGGCAGGCGCAGGCGAGCCGGCCAGCCAGCCCGCAGGCCCAGCAGCTGCTTCTGGTCACCCAAACAGCTGAGGCTCTGTGATCTGCGCGGGCCGAGCCGGGTCTGAATGAATGTGCGCGGCCCTTCTGGGTCCAGCAGCGCAGCCGGGGCAATTTCTATTTACTGCTGGGGACGGCGCACGCCAGCAATGCCTGCTGGTCGTGGCTCATGTGCATGGGTGCCACATCAGGCAGGGACTTGTAAACAGGGTGGGGTCTGGGGCTTGTTTGATCGATTTGATACCAATGCATCCCTTCTGCTGCCCACAGGTGCAGCTACGCAGCTGCTACCGCACCAATAAAATGCAGGTTTTGGCGATACGGCCCTGTTTGAGTCGACCATGAAGTCTGCCTGCATCGTCGACTTGCTGTTGCACGTACATTGCACGCATGACTTGGAGCAGCGCGGCCTTGTGTCATGTGTTTATGGTGCGCGCGACTCAAGCCATTGTAAGTCTATGTTGAGTGGCGCATGTCCGTTTGCGTGCTGGCTGAGCGGCGTGCTCAAGCACGCAAAGCATCGTATCACTTGGGCGGCGCTGTGGAGGTGCTGCAAATGGACTTTGCTGGCCGGGCTGTATCAATTGCCGCATGTATCGCGTCGCCCTGTGCTATTCTTCAGCAGGGTAGCCCTCGCGTCGGGTATGGCTGCGCTCAAAGTGCAAAAGCAAGCCTCACTTTGAAACGAGGGGACGAGTTCAGGGCTACCCCTCCTCCTCGTCCGCCTCCTCTCCCTTCGCCTGCTGCTGCGGTTGCTGCTGCGACGCCAGGCTGCTGCTACTGCTGCTGCTGGTGCTCGTGCTGCTTTCACTGCCGTCTCGTTGGCTGCAAAGGAATCCGGCCTTGTGTTGGTGACAGCCAAAGGCATTGGCTGCAAAGGTGCCCTCGTGCTGCCACCAGCATTCTCACGCAGATCAGCAAATGCCAATTGCTTGAACTGATCGACACCTTAGGATTCATTCTTAGCCTACATGCAGCAGCTTGCTTTTGTGCCCGCCCATCAAAGCGTCAGCAGTCCGGCGGCGGCCCGCATCAAAGCAACTCCTACTCAGAGAGCGCATTTGCAAGCAGGCGCCCTGGACGCGCCAATACAGCTTATGGAATACTTCCGTTAGGCCAATGCTGCTGCGAAATGGGCGATGCCAGCAGCGCGTGCCGGGGCGATCTCGCTCCTTGCGCCGATCGTTCCGTGGCTGAGCACAACGTGGCGCCAGGTGGTTGCCAGCAATTCGAGGTTCGCATCGCGCAGTGGCAGCGCCTCCAGACGGGGCACTCCGCCGACACTAGACACCCGGATCCTACGCCTGCTCGCTTTCCCCGCGTGTCTTCTAATTCCCCCCGCGCGGCCACATTCACACTTTGCAAGCTCGTATCTTGCCCTCATCCCTCATATCAGCCCTTCTCACGCTCCACCTCCTCCCAGCACAATGGCTCTGACCATGAAGAGCGTGGCGGTGTCCCGGGTTGCCGCCAAGGCGCCCGTCGCCAAGGCCAACAAGATGATGGTGTGGCAGCCCGTGAACAACAAGTGAGCGCGTGGGGTGCCGGCCACGGGGGTCCCCAACCCCCACGCGATCGCAACAACGTCCTGGTCTGGCAGCTCGCATTGCGGCCCTCATTGCGCTCCAAAGGCCGCTCGACATCGTCATTCTGGCAATGCGATCCCAATGTGCCAGCAATTGCGGCCCAAGCAGGCTGATGACATGGGTTCGGCACCTGCACACCAACCCGGTCAGCGATGCTTCTTCCGGGCCCTACCGCCCCCATCCTGGTCCCTGGCATCATCCTCACCACTCGCCCGGCCCCACTATCCCCAATTCCCAGGTTCTTCGAGACCTTCTCGTACCTGCCCCCCCTCAACGACAACCAGATCGCCCGCCAGGTTGACTACATCATCAACAACGGCTGGACCCCCTGCCTGGAGTTCGCCGCCCCCGACTCCGCCTACACCTCCAACACCAACGTCGTCCGCATCCAGAACGGCGCCACCTGCGTGAGTGGCCCTTGCCCCGCCCCGCCACGACGCCCGCTGCTCAACCGACTCGCCGCAGCCAGCGCTCCCTTTTTGGGGCACCTTTTGGCATGCCAGCAATGCCAGCAACATGGCGATGCCTTGATCAGCCGGCATCAGCTAGATCCCCACATCCAGATCCTAATCAATGACAGGACACAGGAGCACATGCCTTCGCACACACCCCGCATGCCTGCCACAGCAACTTTGGTGTAGATTCTCCTCAAGTGTGTCACCCTAGCACCTGCCTAGCTGCCATTGTTTGAACACATCCCTCATATTCTGCTCCTTCTGCAACCCCCCTGTGTAACCCCCCAGAACTACTACGACAACCGCTACTGGACCATGTGGAAGCTGCCCATGTTCGGCTGCACCGACCCCAGCCAGGTGCGCGCTGCTGCTGGCCGGCGCTGAAGCACGGAGCATGGGCTGCAGGCTTCAGCCCTTATTGACGCGACAGCGCACGCACGCATGCGTTGGAACAGCATGCCACACCTTGCTGTTGCTTGCAAGTCGCGCGCTCGACAAGGCACCAACGCAGGCTATGACTGCGCGGCAGGTGCCAGTGCTGGCCATATCCCGCAATTACTCCCTAGGTCCTCTTGCCCCACCCCTTGGCCCACCTCCTGACCATTGCCTACCCCTCCCAACACCCTCCCCACCGTTCCTCAGGTCCTGAAGGAGATCGCCGCCTGCACCAAGGCCTGCCCCGACGCGTACATCCGCATGGCCGCGTTCGACGCCTCCCGCCAGGTGCAGGTCACCTCCATGCTTGTGCACCGCCCGACCACCGCCAAGGACTGGAAGGCCCCCGACAGGCGCCAGCTGGCCTAAGCCGCCCGCGCCTCTCTCTGATGGCACGGTTGGGGGCGCCGCCCCGCGCCGGCGCCCCCTGGCGCGCGGTGCGCGCCCCAACGTTGTTTACGGAGGCGGCGCCTTCGGCGCGGCCGCGCCGCGGGCGCCTGCCTCCGGGCCGTGAGCTTGCCTGTTTGTGTCTGGGTTGAGAGCATTTCTGCGCGCCGCGTGCTCCCGCGCGCGGCGCGGCGCGACGCTTGCCGCCGCCCCTCACATTCACATTCATCCCCGGGCAGCTCCGACGGCTTCGGGATTGACACGCGAGTTTTCAGCCAGGACGCTGGCTTCTTTTGCGCGCCGGGGTCCCCCCTTGCGTGCGCATACCTCTACTGTCGCTTCCCTGATTCGTGCGCCAACAGCGGCGGGGAGGTTTTGGGTGCGCGCCATTGTTGCGCGCTCTTCTTGCCGCGCACTTGTATTCCGGCTGCCGCTGGCTGGGGGTGTAGGCCACCGCCAAGCAGTGTAACCCATTGAGAAGGGTTGGACAAAGCTGAAAGATGTACACTGCTGCAGGCTGGGGTTGACAGGGTGTGATATGAAGTGGCAACCGGAGAGCTGGTCAGGTTCGATGGCTTACCACGCAGTGCTGAGAAAATTGACGAGGTCAACGCGGGCGTGTTCGAGGGTACAGTAAATGGTGTGGGTGCAGAAGTGCCTGTGGTACCTACCATTCTACATTGTGATGATGGTCACCCACGCCTTGACGTGTGCAGTGCAGCCTCCAAATTCAGTGTTGCCAGGTACCTGAGTACCAACCAACCCATCTGCAGTCATCGCCCATGTCACACTGCAAGTCCAGGGTATCATATGTTGGCAGCACCGTGATAATGTGGCTTCTTCGTGGCATGTACTTGTAGCGTCACAATGGTCTACATACAACGGTAGTACGAACGGTACCAGATCATTCTCTTGACGACAGGCGATGATAAAATCTTGAATTTTTCGTGAGAATGGAGCATGGCATCAACACCCTAGCCATGGAACCCGCGCAAGGGCTGCTGGAGCTTCCTCATTCAGTGCTGGTGCGTTCGAGGAGTTCTTGTGCTCTTCTGCTGCTGCTGCTTTGCTGCTGCACGCTTGTGGCGTTCCCATGGCGGCGCTTGTTGCCGCGATTCCAGCAGCCGCATGCAATAACAAACAATAATCTACCATAAAGACCAGCAAACCTATCATATGCCGAGGTGGAATTGGGAGGGTCAATCGCCTCGGATCCGTCTCAGGGGCACCAACATGCCCATCAAAGCCCCCACAGCGGGTCTGGCCGCATCCCCTCCACACACAAGCCCCCCACCCGCCGCATCCTCTGACTCACGCTGTCCAGGCCCACATCCTGTCGCACCTGGGTGACGCAGCCGCCATAGTCCGCGCCTGCACCGCGTGCCGCGCCCTCCGGTCGCTCATCGGCCCTCTGCAAGCCCAGCCCGCCGTCGCTGCCAGCGCCGGCGCCGCCCCGGCAAGACCAGCGGCGGCGGCGGCGCCGCCGCCGCCCTTCCGCAGCGTACGCCGGCTGCGGGTCCTGTCCAGCCACCCGAGCCTACAGGATGCCGCTGCATGGCTGCCGCGCGCGTTCCCAGACGTCTCGCACGTCGACTGCTCGGCAGCTTCCCACGTGCCCGAGGAGTGGCTCGCGCCGCTGCTCCGCGCGCTGCCTGCCCTGCGGTCGCTGCGCGTGGACGGCCTGCGGGCGTGGCAGGGCCGCGCGTCGCTGCCCGCGGCCGCGCCGCGGCTGCGGCGGCTGGACGCGCGCGGGACGGCGCTTGACCTGTGCTCGAACGACGCCGGGTGGCTGGCGCGCGGCGCGGCCGCGTGCGACCTGACGCGGCTGTCGCTGGGGGGCGCCGCGCACGGCTTGTGGCGCTGCCAGGGCCACGGGCTGCTCAAATGCGCGCTGTGCCAGGCGCGTGCAGGGCACGGTCTGTTGCAGCGGCGGTTTGCATGCGGCCCGCCTTGCCCGTTGTGCTGTGGTTTCAAGGGGTCGAGGCGACCCTGGTAGATGCACCATGGACAGGTTGCAGCGCTGCTTGATCCACAAACGGCGCACCTGTCCACGCCACAGCCCACCTCCGTGGTGCTCGTCAGAAGCACAAAGATCCACACTGCCCTGCGGTCTGGTGACTTCCAAACGCACACCCACACACACACACGCGCGCGCACACACACACATACACACACACACACCAGGACCAATCCGTGCTGGGCCGTCTGCTGGCCAACAGCCCGATGCTATTGGACCTTGACCTGTCAGACCTCCCAAGGCTGCCCAGCCACGTCCTCAGGGCGGCGCTCGAGGCCGCGGGCGCCGCCCAGCAGCGCGGCGCGCGTGGGAACGGGGGCGACGGTGGCGGCTGCGGCGCGCCGCTGGTGCGGCTGCGGCGGCTGAGCCTTGCGGGCTGCGAGCGTCTGCAGCCGCCGCTGGAGCTGTTGGCGGGCTGCACGCAGTTGGTCAATTTGGACGTGTCCGGCACTGCGGCAACGGACGCTGACGTCATAGTGATGTCAGAGTACCTGCAGCTGCTGCGCCGGCTGGACGTGTCCGGATGCATCGCCCTGACGGATGCGGGCGTGCGTGGCCTGGCCGGCGCGGCCGCAGTGCGCCGTGGGCGCCTGCGCGCGCTCGGCGCGGGTCGGCTGCCGAGGGTGACTGGCAGGGGGTTTGCTGAGCTGCTGGGCTCGTGGGCGCGCTGCGCTGTGGTGGAGTGGAGCTGGGAAAGGCGTGTGTGTGGAGATGGGCGGCTGGGCGGCTGCTGCAGCGATGGTGGCTGTGGAAGCTGGGGCGGCAGCAGCAGCAGCAGCAGCAGCAGCAGCAGCAGCGGCGGCAGCTGCAGCAGCACCAGCAGCGATAGTGACTCTGGCAAAGTGGGTGCCAGCACCAGCAGCCCGACAATGCATGGCAAGCGGGTCTGCGGCAACCGGCGGTGCCGCAGGCGGCGTCGGTATCTGCTGCGGCTCGACGTCTCCGGCAGCGGCGCCGTCGATGGCGGCGTGATTCGCGCCATCGTGAGCGCCGCCGCCGCCGACGCCGCTGCCGCTGCAGCGCCCATTGCGTCTCCGCCCACGCCGGCTGCGCTGACGTGGCGAGAGGGCAAATCGAGTGATGAGGAAGAGCACGGGGGCACCGCTGGCGGTTGGCTTCTTGGCGGCAGACGTGGTGGCGGTGACGACGGCGGCGGCGGAGGCGCGGCTGAGGAGGCTGCCGAGCTGCTGGCGAGCTTGGGGCTTGAGCCTGAAGAAAGCAGCAGCAGCAGACACGGGGGCTTGGAGGGACGGGCGCGCAGCAGCAGCGGCGGCGGGGGCCTTGAAGGGAGCCCGCACGTGCGGCCCACGGAGCGGCGGCGGGTCGGGCGTGTGCAGCTCGGGGCGCTGCTCGCGGCGGGCTGCCCGCTGGGCGCGTGCGATTTGGGGGCGCTCGGCGCCGCCGGCTGCCTGCGGCGCCTCGCGGCGCTCGACCTGCGCCACTGCGAGCCGCTGCGCAGGCCGCCGCAGGAGGCCGCCGCGGCGAGCGCGCCCGCGGCGGCCCGCGGCGGCGCCGGCGGTGGCCTTCAAAATCGCGGGCCCGATCACCCGCTCGCCGCGGCGCTTGTGGCCAGCATCGAGCCACGTGCGCTGCGCGTGCTGCGCCTCGACGGCTGCCACCTCAGCGACGCCGCCGCGGCCGCGCTCGCGGCGCACTGTGGCGGCTCGCTGTCGGAGCTCTCCCTCGTCGGCTGCCGTCCCCTGGGCGACGCCGGCCTGCGCGCCTTAGCGACGCGCTGCACGCGCCTGCGCGCGTTGGCCATCGGCGGCGCAGGCGCGCACTGGCGTGAGGACGCGGCGCTCGCGGGCGCGCCGGCGCTGGCGGCGCTGACGTCGCTGCGCGTCGCGCGGCGCGCGCTGCTGACCGACGCTCAGTTGGCCGCGGTTCTCGCCGGCTGCACTCGGCTGCGGTCGCTGCAGCTCGCGGGCTGCTACAGCCTTACAGACCGCGCGTTCGCCCCCCAGCTCCCTCCGCCCCAGCTCCCTCAGCCGCCGGGCCACGACGGCGGCAGCGGGGGCAACCTCGGCAGCAGCAGCAGCAGCAGCAGCAGCAGCAGCAGCGGCTGTGCCGTTCACAGCGGGGGAAGCAGCGCAGCCAGCTGCCCGGCGGCAGACGACGGGGCCGCCTACGAAGTTGTACCGCAGCAGGCGCCGCCCCTCCAGCAGTACACGTCGATCACCGATGTGTCACTCGTGGCCATGGACGCGTCATTCACCGGCTCCGGCCTCGCGCGCCTGCCGCGGCTGCGCTCGCTGCGGCTGAGCGCGTGCCCCGGCGTCACGCCCGCCGCGGCCCAGCTGGTGGTCGCCTGCTGCAGCCGGCTGGCCGAGTTTGAGCTCCCTGCCCACCTGGCGGGGGCCCCGCTGCCGCTGCAGGCGGGCGCGCGGGGCGCGGCGGGGCGGCTGCACGTGAGCGTCGACGGGCGGGGGCTCGGGGCGGGCGGAGCGGCGCCGGCTCGGCGGCGGGGAGGGGGCGGAGGTGGAGGTTGGGGTTAGCCGATGTTTTGCTGCAGCCAACCTTGAGGACATGTGCAGCGCCAAGAGGGGGTTCCGCAGCGGGGGGCCCACTCAGCAATCTGTTTGCCTCGCACGTCTGTTCATTTTTTTTCCAAGGCGAGGCACCAACCGATCACCTAGCCCCGGTGTGCAGCAGTTATCAACCACCACAGCAGCTGACTGGGCACACACGTGCATCCCTTCGCACCTGATAATTTATCACCCCAGTCTATTGACGTGGCGTTCGCGTTTTTTGACCCTGGTTGGTCGCGCAGCAAGACTGGCATACTCACTCACTCGGAAAGTGAGCAGCCGAGCCATCGACCCGGCACGTGCACACGGCTTGAAACTCCCAAGTGCGCCAGACTATGGCTGACCTCCGTGGTGCTTTTTGGGGCGGCCGCCCGTGACTCAGGGCAGGAGGGAGCACGGGGCTTTGGGAAAGCAA